TGTCTCAACTCTTCACCAGTGTTAAATGTAGATAAATCTCTTTTTGAAAGTCCAAGACAGATCTAAGTTCAAGATAGAGGGGTGACCACAACTGGAGAAGATGGCTTTTCACTAGTTATCGTTATCTCTCAGGGATTACATAGACCTGTGGTATGCCTAGAAGCCAATACTGAATGCAATAAATTCATTTTGTAAGACCTTTTCTTTGGCATCTTTGTCCCTCAGTTTAATTTCTATATTAGAGCAGAGGGAAGTGCTGTGCTGTTGTGAGTAACTCAAGAACGTCAATGTGTAGTCAAGCCATGGTTACCTAGACTTGAGGAAAGTGATCATGTGTCATGTGCAAGAGAGCAAAATCTCAGGAAGAACAACTTCCCACCTGTTTGCCTACACTAGGTATATTTTATGAATAGCTAAGTGCCAGTGAAACAGCAGAATTCAAAGAGGAAGTCCAATATGGGAAATAAGACTTATTCTCTGACAAGGTATGATTGTGGTCTCCAAACCTTTCCTAATTTACATTATAATGAATATTGGAAAGACATTAGACCGACATAAGCTCTTTTCTAACAAGAATTAGAGGTGGGATTTGGAGGAAGGAAGGAAGGAAGGAAGGAAGGAAGGAAGGAAGGAAGGAAGGAAGGAAGGAAGGAAGGAATGAGATGGACTTTATCTAAATTCTCTTATGGAATACAAAGTCTTCAGTGATCCTGGCTTCCTAGCAGCTTTTTTATACCTTCCTAGGCATATGCAAATATACCCATGAAATGTTCCTCTTTATAAGCACGGTCCTCACTTTGGACCTTTACATTTTCTTTGAATTGTACATGTCAGACTGGAGGACAAAGACTTTAAAAATAGATTATGAATTTCTTGCTGTTTTTCTTTTCTCTGATGGCTATGCCAAAATGTCAGTACATCATTTTAGAGAACGTATGTGATTTTGTTTCTGATACATGCGAATCCTGATTATTTATTTATTGTTTGTTTTGTCTCTTACTTCTCTAGGGTGCTTTTCTGATGTGCAACTTGTATCTTCAGGGCCTGAAACTGTAAAACCAGGACAAAATCTCAATTTGCTCTGTAAAGTTACAGGTGTCTCCATCACTAGTAGTAGCTATGCTTGGAACTGGGTCCGTCAGCCTCCTGGAAAAGGATTAGAATGGATTGCCAGAATCTACCCCTATGATGGGAGAAAATGGTTTTCATCTTCTCTTCAAAGCCGCACCACCATTACTTCAGATAACTCCAAGAATGAATATTCCCTTCAGTTGACCTCCATGTCAACATCTGATACTGCCATGTATTATTGTGCTAGAGATGCACACTGACTGATTTTGCCTGATCCTCCAAGCAAAAACAGGAAACTGATTCTGACTGTGCTTTTTTTTGTTGTTGTTGTTGTTCCATGCAGTAGATCAACATTCAGACAAATGAAATCACTTAACTTTTTGGAGGAATATATCTCCCAGAAGAACATCAAAACAGTGGATTCAGACAGAACAACAAAACTCATTCTATCCAACTGATCCATCGGACTGAATCCACTCCAGTTAATTGATATTAATTTTATAAAGCAAAATAGTAAGCACAATCTTGATGACATAGAAATGAGATGCATTTTTTTTTTTTGCAGCTCATTATACACCAGCGGTTCTCAAACTATGGGTCACGACCCCATTTGGGGTCGATCGACCATTTCACGGGGGTTGCCAAGCAAGGCTGTCCACCATTTTTTCCCCTTTTCTGGCGGGTGCTTACCTCCTTTGGGCTGGGCCAGCTGGTGGCCCAGCCGGTGGTCAGCCTGCTCCGTCTCTGCCACTTGCTAGCTACGCCTCGGCCGGCGCAGGGGGTGGCACCATGCATGCGCAGCGCTCCCAGGCAGGGAAAGTCCTCGACTTATGACCGGTTGGGTAGTCCTTGACTTACGACCGGTTTAGTCCTCAACTTACGACCGGTTGGGGGTTGTGGCATTGAAAAGGTTGAGAACCACTGCTATGCACAGATAGAAATGGGGTAGAGTTTGGATCACATTGTCCTTCAACAAAACAAAAAGAATCAGAAATAGGAGAAAAAAGCTTTTTGAGGTGGTCCACAAAAAGATATAATAGCAGTCTTTCACTAACTAGAAGCTCACACAAAAGAAGGGGTGGACTTTTTCTCTACTGCCTCTCACAGCATGATCAAAACCAATGGATTAAAATTACAAAGAAGGAGATCCCTGTAAAAGGTATCAGGCATGAACCAGGCCATCCAATGATGGGATTAGTTCTCTTTCACTACTGGTCTTCCCTAGTAATTGCTCAGAGGAGCTAGAGTAAAACTCACACCATATAGAGAATTGGCTGTTAAAGATAAAAGATGACGTCTAATACTAAGGTTTAGATCCAGTGGTGGGATTCAAATACCTGAATATCCAGTTCTCTGCCTGGATGCAGGCCTGAGCCTCTGAGGCCTAGAATGGACTTCCAAAAGTGACATCCATGCACTTCCTATGGGCTGTTCTAGGCCTGGGAGGCCTCCTCCAGGCCTCCCAAGCCTAGAAAGGACTTCCAGAAATGACATCAATGCACTTCCGGTGTGCCGTTCTAGGTCGGGGAGGCCTCCACCAGGCCTAGAACAGACTTCCGGAAGTGACATCCACACACTTCCAGTGGGCCGTTCTAGGCCTTGGAGTCCTCCTCCAGGCCTCCGAGGTCTAGAACAGACTTCCAGAAGCAGCATGGGTTCGGCCAATTCTCCAAACTCAACAAAATTTAGCTCTCATTTCTACCAAACTGGTGCGAACCGGCTGAATCCCACCACTGTTTAGATCAGAATTTCATGATACAATTTTCTTATTTTTCTTATTCTCTTCTTTCTTACTTCTCACAGCAGAGAACCATGCATAAGCTAAAACCCCTTTTTAAAATTTAAATTATAGAGAAAACTCAGTGAAAGACATACTCTGGATTGCAAAGGCACCAAATAGGTTCTTTCTCTGAAATTAAACTAAAAGCAGTCTTTTATTTTGGGAATAGGTGAAAATGTCACATTCATGTCTTAATTTCTATAGTCAATGGATGAGCAAATGAAAATAGCTCTTGGTTAATAGGGTTAACCAAGAAACCCTAACACTAACCTGAGGTCCTCAACTTGTGGTCACGAAATATGAAAAAGTAGGCAAAGAGACATTCCAAACAGCCAATCCTTGTGATAAAAGATGGATATCTGAGAAGAGATCAACCCCGACTGCTCTTTAGAAGGCCAGATCCTGAAGTTGAAACTCAAATACTTTGGCCACCTAATGAGAAGGAAGGACTTACTGGAGAAGGGCCTAATGCTGGGAAAGATTGAGGGCAATAGAAGAAGGGGACGACAGAGAATGAGATGGCTGGATGGAGTCACTGAAGCAGTAGGTGTGAACTTAAATGGACTCCAGAAAATGGTAGAGGACAGGAAGACCTGGAGGAAAGTTGTCCGTGGGGTCGCGGTGGGTCGGACACGACTTCGCAATTAACAACAACAACAACAAAAAACAATCAATACTCTTCCTTCTTAAAACAAACTCTCCTGCAAAGCCAAATGTTTATTTTTTTCTTTATAAATCCTAAGTGAGACAGCCTATGTAGCTTAGTGATTAAGGGGCTAGATTAGGAGTTAGGGATCTGTCCATAGGCAGAGAATGTTGGTTGTTTGGGTTTGAGCCAGTCACTCTCTCCCATGCCTAGACTGGGATGTCAAAAAGCCATCAATCTATTTCTTGAATTGGATCACTATGGTACTCCATGGTTCATAATGAAAGGGCTTTTATCCTGCAGGTGATTGATTTGGACTACTAATAATAGCAAACTCTATGGAAATTAAGGAACACTCTAGAATGACTGAAAGGATGTTTTGGGGTCCACCCTATCTGCTACATTGCACTTTTGGTTCATACTTACAACATTGGCCATACCTGTACTGAATGTTGCAATTTCATCAAAAATTGGTCCACTTACCCTGTCCATAGGATGTATGTATGTATGTATGTATGTATGTATGTATGTATGTATGTATCTATCTATCTATCTATCTATCTATCTATCTATCTATCTATCTGTCTATCCTTCTATATCCAATGGAACATTCACATTTTTTTCTGAGTCCAATACAACAGATTAGTTATCACCTTTAAATTTCTTCATGGCATGGGACCTGGATACATGAGGAGCCATTTTGTCCCAATTACATAGACTCATCCCACCCAGTCAAGCAATGAGGTCATGCTGTATATCTGCTAGGATAGGGAGTTGTGACTGGTGGGAGCTAGGATGAGGGCCTTTCCCCCATTTTATGAAATATCTTACCCCAAGAATTGAGGCAAGATCCCATTTTTCCAGTTTTTTCAATGTGTTAAGACCTGACGTTGCCAATTACCCTGAAGGCCTAAAGGTATGTTGCAGCTTGGGAAATGGCTGGTGCCCAGAGGATACTCCTTGCTGTCCTATTAACTTCCTTGCCTTCAAATTTTAACTTGATTTGTTTTTCCATGTAAACATTTAATTGCTTTTAATCCATTTTAAGCTATGTTTTTATTCATGTATTTATATGGTTTTATTATATAGTTGAAAACAATCCAGAGGGTGAGGTAGATAGTATAGAAAATACAGAAAGAAAGAAAGAAAGAAAGAAAGAAAGAAAGAAAGAAAGAAAGAAAGAAAGAAAGAAAGAAAGAAAGAAAGAAAGAAAGAAAGAAAGTATTGAGAATTTTGTGCAAAGATCTGGATGGGGCTGATGTAAGACTGTGAAAATCTGACTTGTGCTACAAGCATGCGAAATGGTTTTGTATTGTGATCTGATGAAGGAAGGAAGGAAGAAAGGAAGGAAGGAAGGAAGGAAGGAAGGAAGGAAGGAAGGAAGGAAGGAAGGAAGGAAGGAAGGAAGGAAGGAAGGAAGGAAGGAACTTTATCTGGATTTTCTTAATGAATACAAAGTCTCCACCGAACCTGGCTTTCTAGGAGCTCCTTTATACCTCAGTAGGCTTATGCAAACATCATCACGAAATGTTCCCTTTTATAAGCAGGGTCCTCATTTTGGATCTTTACATTTTCTTCCAACTGCATATGTCAAACTGGAAGAAACTCATTTAAAAAGACGCTATGAATTTCTACCTGTTTTTCTTTTCTCTGATAGCCATGCCAAAATGTGAGTACATAATTTTAGGGAAAGTAACTATGTGATTTTTTTTTCCGCTGATGCATGTAAATCCTGTTTATTTTTTGTCTCTTACTTCTTTAGGGTCCCTATCTGATGTGCAGCTTGTATCTTCAGGGCCTGAAACTGTAAGACCAGGACAAAATCTCAATTTGCTCTGTAAAGTTACTGGTTACTCCATCACTAATAGTAGGCATGCATGGAGCTGGGTCCGTCAGCCTCCAGGAAAAGGTTTAGAATGGATTGCCAGAATCTTCCCCCATAATGGGAATACGTGGTTTTCATCTTCTCTTCAAAGCCGCATCACCATTGCTTCAGACAACTCCAAGAATGAGTTTTCCCTTCAGTTGAACTCCTTATCCGCTGCTGACAGTGCCATATATTATTGTGCCAGAGAGGCACAGTAACGAATTTTGCTTTCTCTTCTGAGCAAAAACAGGAAACTGATTCTGACTGATTTCTGTTCCACGCAGTAGATCAACATTCAGGCAAATGAAATGCAAAGAAAGCTATCAGAGATAATCCACAGATTTAAGTAATAGTGTTCAACCAGTTCTGAGGTGTGGCTTGGTAACATATACAAGAAACCAGAAGTTGCCTTTAAGATTATGTGTTTATTCAGCTGAACAAAGAAGGGCCCCTTTAAAAGGAAGGGTAGCCCAGGTAACAAGAAATGCATGTATTTATACTCTTTTATTACATACATAATCCACCCAGCAAAGCTGACACACAACAGTCACCCAGAAAGGCTGGCACACTATAGATTAGATAAGAGAGAACAGAAATAGCTAAAGATGTTCCTAGTATCTTTTGGGTGGATCCCTAAGGACAATGGATGTTTCCGGCTGTCTTAGAACATTGGATGTTCCCTTAGTGACCTTCTATGGCCCTGCAAGTACCTAGAGATAATGAGGCCATCTGCATGTATATGGGTTCTATGCTTTCTCCAGATTCCTGGTCAACAATAACAGTCTTTCACTATCTGAAAGCTCAAACACAAAAAAAGGGGTCAACTTTTTTTCTCATGGCAATACTGATCTCCCCTAATTATTTGTCAGATAGGTCTCTCTCTACCAGATAGAGAGTTAGGCTGTTTTATCTTTAACATTCAACTTTCAATTCTAAGGTTTAGATCAGAATTTCATGATAAAAATTCCTTATTTTCCTCTTTCTCACGTCTCACAGCAGTGGCCTATGCATAAGCTAAATAGCTGAGGTGGTCCACAGATATAACAGTAATCTTCCACTATCTGAAGGCTCACAGGGCACCATCCAAACCAAAGGACTAAAATTACAAAGAAGGAGGTGCATGATGGACAACAGGATGAACTTCTTGGTTGTACAAGGTGCCAAGAAGTAGATTAGGTTGTCTCCTGACACAGTAACAGTAACAAGAGATAGAATTGGAAAAGACATTGGAAGTCACCTAGTGCAGTTCCCTGCTCATGCAGGAGACCTATGATACTGCTGATAAATGGCTATCCAGTCTCTTCTTAAAAACCTCCAGTGAGGGAACACCCACTACTTGCAAAATCCATTTGTTCCACTGATTGATTGTACATACTGTCAGGAATTTTCTCCTTAGTTCTAGGTTGCTTCTTTCCTTGATTAGTTTTCATCTACTGTTTCTTGTTTTGCCTTCAGGTGTTTTGGAGAATAGCTTGAGCCCATCTTCCATCAATTTCAGTACTGGTCTTCTCTAGTAAATTTATTTATTTATTTATTTATGAGACTTATATATCACTTTAAGTGCAAGCATCTCTAAGCAGTGTACACCAGTAAGCAATGTATATATATATTTACATTGCCCCCAACAATCTGGGTCCTCATTTTACCTACCCCGGAAGGATGGAAGGCTGAGTCAACCTTGAGCCGGTGAGATTTGAACCGCTGACCTGCTGAACACAGTCAGCTAAAGCGGCCTGCAGTACTGTACTCTAACTGCTGTGCCACCTCGGCTCTAGTCATCTGTCAGAGAAGTTAGAGTAAAACCTGCACCAGATAGAGATTTAGGCTACTTTATCTTTAAGGTCATTTCCAATTCTGATTTTGTAAATATTTTTGTAAATATTTGTAAATATTTTCAGACATACACATGCATAGTGATATACCGAAGTAGGCATACAGGCATACAGATACACCAAACAGAAAGCCCAAATACATTTTATTATACAGAATAAATGAAATAGTTTGGATACGATGGAATTTATCCATTATTTTGGGACACATATTTTTTTCTGTTGTATCCAAAATTTACTAATGAAAATCTGTTAAATCGTAAATTTACAATACAGTGTTTTCCACATAGTTTCTTACATGTGCTTCTCTAAATTCATAGACTTGCTTCTCCTATTAGCATAATTCCAAATAATGCTAATCACAGGTAGTCTTTACAATAACAATTGAGCCCAAAATTTATGTTGTTAAGTGAGACATTTGTTAAGTGACTTTTGCCCCATTTTATGACCTTTCTTGCCACAGTTGTTAAATGAATCATTGCAGTCATTAAGTTAGTAACACAGTTGTTAAATGAATCTGGTTTCCCCATTGACTTTGCTCGCCAGAAGGTCACAAAAGGTGATCCTGGAACCCTGCGACCATAATAAATATAATCAGTTGTCTGAATTTTGATCATGTGACCATGGAAACACTGCAATGGTCATAAATGCGAAAAGGTCATGTACTTTTCACAGACTTTGAATGGTCACTAAATGAACTATTGTAAGTCGAGGACTATGTAGTTAACATGAAATGCCCCCATGGTCATTCACCTTTATGACTGATCACAGGGAAGCTTCAGAGTGTCCCCATCTATCTTTATCCACCACCACCACCCCCCACACACACACTGGGTCTCTGTAGGTGTTGGACCTGCTTTCCATCCCATTGGTCCCTACTCTTCCTCCTAAATCTGCATCACTTATCGTTCACTTTTTAAGATCTGTATTGCTCCAGAGCTCACAATAAAGCAGCAAAGCAATCTGCTTTTTTGTTGGGCTGTTGCACAATCCCAAAAATGGCCACCATTTTCTGTGTGTCTGCAATGAACTTTAGCTGCTCAGAAAATGCCAGCTGGTTCAGGGACAAAGCTTGCTTTGCTTGCCTAACTCAAACTGTGGAGTCTTCAAATCAAATGGAAAATGTGCAATGGGTAACCTGGGATGAGGAGGAAGTGGTCGCTTTCAGTGGGGTGGAAAGTAGGCCCAAGGTCTGCAAGACCCCGAGGGGTGGCAAGTACAGCATGTTGTGTCTTGGGGGGGGGGGTTGGAGAGGTCTTGGGACACCCAGGGCCGGGCCTGCGTTAGACCTTGCAGGACTTCTTCTGGGGATTTGAGGCACCTCATGCTTTGCTTAATGACTTCAATTCATTTAACAACTGCATTGGGAAGAGCAGGGATTGGAGGGGTTATAAGTGAGTGTCAAGCTGTGAAAAATGCTTATGCTGCTTTTGCCATTATTGCTTCTTAGTTTGCCTACAGACTCAGGGGGGAGGGAGAAAGAATGGAATGTGGACTGCAGGTGCCAAACTGCCAGGCCGTGAGAACCAAGATCGCTCAAGCAAAGACTTTCTCTCATAATAACTGTCTGATGTTTAATTGGACAATGTGACCTGCACTATTAAGGGGGAGGGGAGTTTCTATACTTTTAATATACTGATATTGGTGCCAATAAACCAGAGCTGGTTTTTTATTCATCTGTGCTGAAATGGTGTACTCAATAAAGTTTTGCATTAGAGATTGGATCATTTCAGCTGTGCTTGCTTTGTTGGGTTCATCAGTCGGAATCTTGACAGTGAGGTGATCACATAGATTGTTCACTTAATGTCCATCATGACTTCCAACTGAAATGGCCAGGCTCCATTAGGGTCATGAATCAAGGACTATTTTAGTTTCTTTATATCTTCGCCCTGTCTGGATTTTCTCCAAAAATTTGCTGGCAACATCATTTTCCTTGGGAAATAAATGGAGCAATAGGCATTATTCTGAGCAGTGGAAATAGTCAACCTAACATAGCTCTTCATACTTTGGTTAGCATTGCAAGAGATGTCTAAAAAAAAATCAGGTTTTTCTGCAACTAACCAATCTCCAAGCAAATGACAGTGGCCTATATTATTCCTCAAGAGAGAGAAATGCACACTGAAAAAACTCTTCCTGATGCAGTACAAAAACTGTTTTTCCAGTCAAATAAGCATGATAGCTTTGTCATTTGGCACCTGCTAGAAACAGGATGTGTTTTAACCCTTTGCTGCTAAAGTGTGAACTCTTGCCATATTCACAGACAATATTTTTAAACTAATTTCCATCCCCTCCCTTCCTTTCCTTTCCTTTCCTTCCTTCCCTTCCCTCCCCTCCCCTCTCCTCCCTTCCCTCCCTCCCTCCCTCCCTCCCTCCAGCTGTAAAGCAATAAAATAAAATAAAGACAATGGTAAATGCTAAGCCATTGTATATAATTTTATCTTTTAATATTTTATTCCATTTAGTTTTTATTTTATTTTAATAAAACTGTGCTGGCATATTTTTGCCTAATATAAAGTTGACAGGAGCTGTATGGATTTGTCAGTCTAAGGTCTGCATACTATCATTAAATGAACTAGAAATCTGTGAGGAGAATCAAATCCCAAATTGTTTCAGTTTGAATTATGCTAACCTATTTGTATTGGTGTGAATTTTGACCATGGTTTGCATTTTGAAACGTCTATTTTTCATAATGGAATATGCACTTCAAAAAAACACAGGGCTGAATTTCCTGAAACATAGTCACAGAGTGGATTTTTTTCTTAAAAAGCAGAAAGAGAACTGCAGATCTCTAATTGCCATATCAGAAAAGTTAGACATGAAAAAGGGGGAGATTAGGAGAATTATCAAGAGGGCATTTCAGCTTTTCTTCTTCAGCCATTCTTCTGAGAATGCTAATAACTCCATCATTAAGTGATGTTCTGGTGTGTAATTACAATGCAGAAAGTCTGGCTGGCTGATTGACACCAATCGTGCTAGGATAGTGTTAATTCTTGGGTTGAATCAGAAACTAGAAATATAAATGTTCATATCTGCTAGCCAGAAGCATGCCACAGTAGGATAACTAATGCCTAAGTCTACAGACATCTTATTATTCCATCATTTATTTTCAGGAAAATGACCCTCTAATTTGGCTTTAGGTGTTTCTTCAGCCTCAGTGTTGAGAACAAGAGCACTTCCAAGCCTTTGAGAGTTGCAGTTCCCAAGTGAGTTTCTCACAGACTACCTCAGCTCTTTTCACAGCTGAGACATTTTCAACTTTCTCCTGGATTTCCTGACATGGAAACCGAATTGCCTGGAGGATATGAGAGTTGTTTAGAGAAGTCAACACAGAGACACAAACACAAACCCACAGACATTTTATTTTTATCTCTAGAGTCACAATGTACGTTTTCTTGCTGCTGAAAATGTGCAACTCGAGCTATGGTTGACATTCTCAGCATTATATATTTAAAAATTGGATGATGATGATGATGATGATAACAACAATATTTTGTGTCAATATATATAAGTGTATTATTCAATCAAAAAATTGTGAGTTTGAATAAATGCACATATTTAAAAAATAAGTCACATGTAGAGAAAAACAAATATATTTACATATGGAGAGTATTATCCATTAAGATATGTATACACACACACACACACACACACACACACACACATACACACACACACACACACATATATATATATATATATATATATATATATATATATATATATATATATATATATATACATTAGCAACATCTCGGAAGCCACCACCAGACTATTGGCACCCTATGGTGTAAGGGTTGCACATAGACCTGACCGGACGTTGCGTTCCTGCATTATGAGACCAAAGGACCCACTCCCCATAATTGAGAGATCTGGAGTCGTTTACAGGATTAACTGTAATGACTGCCCAGGCAATTATATGGGAGAAACTTCTATAAGGGTCGGAACAAGAATGCAGGAACACAAGCTGGCAATAAGAAGAGGTGAGCAATACTCCCAAATACTGACTCACATGGAGGAGTTTGGTCATAAATTTAATTTTGACGATGTAAGGGTGGTTGCCAGTGACACCTCTAAGAGTTGTAGGTTACTCAAAGAAGCCTGGTTTTCAGACAACATGTCAATCCATCGACATGTGGACCTACACCCAGGATATCAGACCATGAAGGCGTGGGAAATGCGTAGACGACCTGGGAAAAAACATCTGAGTAACAAAAACTCTGGGTGTCCATTAGATGAAACTGGCAACAAAGAAGAGAGACATCTACAATCTAGACCCCTTTAGTTAATGATTTATATGTACATCCGCTGTTAATTAAGAAATGTATTGATATCAGTGGCCCATCCTCAGATGCCCCAGACACCTCCTTGCATTGTACCCAATACTCAAGAATAAGAACAACAACAATCACACATTGCTCCTAGAAGCACGAAGCCGAAAGCACCAGCCTGAAGATGACGAATGAGACTTCGTCGAAACGTCGCCAAGACACTTCCAATTTTACATGGGAGAAAACCCAAATAACGAAAGACATTTTTGTGAGCAGTATATATATATACTGCTCACAAAAATAAAGGGAACACAAACATACACACACATACATACACACAGATATACACACATACATACATATATATACATACATTTATATATATACATACATACATACATACATACATACATACATTTGTTTTCTGAGGTTTTCGCGGGTGTTTGTATGTAGGTCTTTGGTTGTTTGGGTTTTCTCCCACATAAAATTGGAAGTGTCTTGGCGATGTTTCGACGAAGTCTCATTCGTCATCTTCAGGCTGGTGCTTTCGGCTTCGTGCTTCTAGGAGCAATGTGTGATTGTAGCTGTGTCCTCCTTTTAACTGCCAGTGGGGGTATGAACTGATTGGATGAGAACTTGGCTGTGTTCTGATTGGATGGAGGTGTGTTCTGATTGGTTAGGAGCTTGGCTGTACTCTGATTGGCTGGGGGGTTGGCTGTGCTCTGATTGGCTGGGGGAGTATTCTGTTTGGGTGGGGGCTTTATTGTGCTCAGGTTAGTCTGAGTTGCAGAGGGATTTAAAATGGTGAGCTGCATAGCTATTTTTTGGCTTCGCGTTCGTGGTCGTGCCTCATCTTCATGGTAGGTGTCAGTTTGCTTCATGTATGGATTGGAGGGGTTTTAAAGTGGCTAATGATGCAGCTGTGGTCTGGCTTCTGGTTTGTGGTCATGCCTCATCATCGGTGTGGCTTTGGATTTGCTTTTTGCGTGGATTTGTGGTAGTGACATCCTGTGTGGTTTTTGTGACTGTGGGTCTGGTGTCATTTTTTGTGTTAGGGAGTCATTTGTCAATAAGGGTGGGTTTCCAAATGGCTGCTAGGTGGGAGGTATCATCTCATTTGTTCATGCTGTGTGGGCGTTTTTCTATCTCGATGGCTTCTCTGATTATTCTTTTATTAAAATGTTCAGTTTGGGCGATAGTTCTAGTCTTTTTAAAGTCAATTTCATATCCTGTGATTTTAAGATGTTGGACCAGGGAAGAAGTTGGTTCCTCTTTTTTGACTGAGTTCTTATGTTCTTCAATACGTGCACTTATTCTTCTGTTGGTTTGTCCGATGTATGTGGTGGGACAAGTGGTGCATAGGATTTCGTATACTCCTTGATTTTCTAATTCAATTTTATCTTTGGGGTTTCTTAGGATGGTGGATATTTTTCTGTTTGGGCACAATGCTGTCTTAATGTTGTGTTTGTGGAGGATCTTACTGATTCTGTCTGTGGTGCCTTTTATGTAAGGGAGGAGGGCTTTGCCATTTGCTTCTTCTCTGTCTTGGGTTTTAGTGGGGGTTTCTTTTTGAATGAATTTGGTAATCTTATTTTGTTGGAATCCATTGGATGTAAGTACATTAGTGAGAGTGTGTAGTTCGGTTTTTAGGTGTTGTTCATCAGCTAAGCATTTTGTTCTAGAGATGAGTGTCTTGGCTACGGAGTTGATCTGTGCTGGGTGGTGGTGTGAGAGAGCATGCAGATAGCGGTTTGTGTGTGTTTTCTTCTGGTAGATGGTGTGTCCTAGGGAGCCATTGGATTTCTTGTAGACTAAGACATCTAGGAAGGGAAGTTGGTTATTAACTTCTGTTTCCATGGTGAACTGTATTTTGGGGTGTAGGCTGTTGAGGTGTATGAGGAAGTTGTCCAGTTTTTCTTTCCCATGTGGCCAGATTATGAAGGTGTCGTCTATATATCTGAGCCAGAGTTTGGGTTTGTGTTCAGATTTTTCTAGAGCTTGGGTTTCAAAGTGTTCCATGTAGAGGTTTGCAATGACAGGTGAGAGGGGTGATCCCATGGGTGTTCCTTCTATTTGTTTGTATTTTTGTCCGTTATAGATGAAGTATGTGTTGGATAGGCAATGGTTGGTCAGATCTAGGATGTGTTTTGGGGGGTTATATTTGTTTTGGATAGCTGTCAAGGCTTCTTTGATTGGCACTTGGGTGAACAGGGATATGACATCGAAGCTCACGAGTAGGTCGCTGGGCTGTAAGTTTTGTTTCTTTATGATCTCTAATACAGCCATCGAAAGCTAGGTTATCTATTTATTAAACATTTAATTGTTTTATCTCCTGGTGCTCGTCCTTATCTTTTGAATACACACACACACACACACACACACACACACACACACACACACACATGCAAATACACACATTAAGGAGCTTGAAATAGCTATACCAGCTTCCCTTTAACTCTTTGTTAGCAATACAAATTTAACACAAATACACACACTGTATGTATAATTATCATTTAATAGAATGTATTTGGGTCAATATAAAAGGGGGGGGGAAGACATTGCCATAGGTGTATACTATAGGCCACAGTTAGAACAATTAACCAGTGGTACAACCTGCCTCCAGAAGCGGTGAATTCTCCAAAACTAAGAAGAGACTGGACAGCCATTTGTCTGAAATGGTATAGGGTTTCCTGCTTGAGCAGAGGGTTAGACTAGAAGACTTTCAATGTCCCTTCCAACTCTGTTATTCTATTCTAAACTAACAAAAAAAATCTTCTATATATTTGTATTTAGCAGACAATCTCTCAGACCTTCTAATCCTACCACTTTAAGTGTGCCTGCAAGGCTTACTTTCTCTGTCTTAAAAATCATGGGGCTTCTGATTAAGAGAATATGGTGTTCACAAATAGACAATCATCTCCATATATCCGTTTTTATTACATGCATGTGATTCATATAGAAAATAAGTAGGTCATCTTGTCAGCCCTACTAGAAAACCAGCCTAGACTAGACTATAAATTCCACCGGAAGGATAAAGATAGTTTTATGGAGATTGGCTACAATAACAGAATATTGCAAGTTTGATTGTTCTGTGCCTCCCCTTTCATTTTATACTCCAGGGAATCAGGAAGGTATCTGTCTGAGCAGCTTCCAAATATTATTTCACTTTTTCAGCCCATTTTGGCTAGGTAGCAGTTCCTGCATTCTATTATAAGGCCATATTCTTTATTCTCAACATTTTTATTATGTGGTTGTGGTTTTGCCTTTTTTGATCCTTTGCAGATGGTCCTGGTACTTGGCATATCCTTCAGTATAAAAGTATCCCTAGAAGACCAATGATAATCTTTTTCCCAAAGTGCCTCATTCTTTGCATTAATTAAAAACTAAATTAAAATTTTATTATGTCCTACTTAATGAATATATGTCATGTGTCAAGCATCATCCCCAGCTTAACACCTTCTTCAAGATTATTTTTATCTGGGATCCCTAGGAATTAAGGGAGAGAGAAAGATAATATAACCTTTATTGTCATTTTTTTACTGTGGGAACACTGGCATACATTAAAAATTAAATTCTGTTGCCTGCTCTCAAAAGTGTACACATACATAACACACATATAAACATGCTATATACATATATATGTATATACCTACACCATTACATATAAATACATATAATATTAATCACTGTTCATCTTGAATATGGACAAAAGAAAGAGAAAGCTAGAGAGTTCACAAGGTTGATACTGTATGGAACAAAACTTTGACTGAACCTGAATGTAGATGTACTTTTTTCATGTGACGCAGAAAATGCAGGCGCTGCTGTGCCCATTTCACCAGTGTCTCACTATTTAGCGACCAAGCCAGCCTACTTATTAGCTGCACATCCAGAATTTTGATGCCACTAACCTAGAAAATGCTTTCTATGTTGATGCTCATTTTTGTTCAGTTCAGGCCTTAGCACAATAATGTAGCATTTGGGAGAGAAGATACAGCCAAGTAAGCCAGCACTGGAAGCTAAAATGGAGAAGATCTCCACAGCTACCATATACTTTCCTTTGGTACTCAAATAGCTGGGAACAAAAGACAACCAAACACTACAAAATATCAGCATACTAAAAGTGATGAACTTGGCTTCATTGAATGTGTCTGGCAACTTCCTTGCTAGAAAGGCCACTATGAAGCTGACGATGGAAAGAAATCCCATGTAGCCCAAGACAAGGTAAAACATGATGGGAGAACCTGAAATGCATTCTGCTAAGATCTCTGTTGCCTCTGAGTGTTTGTCCAGATCAGGAAATGGGGGAAACATTCCTAGCCAGAAGGCACAAATGCTTACTTGAATCAAAGAGCAGGAAAAGACAATGGAGAATGCCAGTCTTTTCCCTAACCATTTCCTCATCTTAGATCCTGGCTTGGTGGCCATGAAAGCTGCAATTACAGTTATGGTTTTGGCCAACACAGAAGAAATGGCCATTGAAAAAATGATGCCAAAGATAGATTGTTGGAGAAAGCAGGTCACTTTTCCTGGTTGTCCAAGAAACATCAAAGAAGAAAGAAAACACAGTAGGAGGGAGATAAGAAGAATATAAGTGAGATCCTGGTTATTTGCTTTGACAATGGGTGTGTGTCTATACTTAATAAATAGTCCAAGCACCCAGACTGTGGTTACTGAAAAGCAAAGAGCAAATGAAACTAGAATGACCCCTAAAGGTTCTTCCAGTGCCAAAAAGCTTATTGTTTTGAACATACAGCCATCTTGCTCTTTGCGAGGGTATTGATCTTCTGGACATTCATGGCAGTCATCCATATCTAGAGGAGAAAATAAAGGTTCAAGGAAGGTTATAAGTGCTATGTGCTTAGAAGCATTATTGGAGACCTCCCACACACCCACTTTATGGTCTGTTTCTGTTGCTCCCCTCTGTGAGGAGGTTTCCAAGTATTTCCAGCAGGACTACCAGATTCTGTAACAGCTTTGTATATGTGGGTATGTGGGTATATGCAATTTTATTTTGTCATATTTATGTAGTGTATATTGGAAGTGGTTACCCTTTCAGAGCTGTATGCAATGAAATTTCATTTTAATGTATGCCAGTTAGTGTACAGTTAAAGTGACAATAAAGTTATTATATTCTGTTCTATTCCTCTTTCTGACTACTTTGTGCCTGTAAATGGCCCAATTAGACTGAACAATAAAATTGTTCAAAGTTCTGCCCATCAGAACTTTTATGTACCTCTTTGGGTTGAAATCTTTCCTTCCGCACATGGAGCACAGTCATAGCAACAAAACATTGCTCCTTCCTTCTTCTTTTTTTGTTCACCAGAATGGCAGGAATCGCTACACACAGAAACAGGAGTCACCTTAGCCATAAAAATAGAAGAGAAATTGAGGATAATAAAATAAATTAAGGAAAATATTAGATTCAATTTTGAAACACACATATTCTTTCAGAAATATCACATCTGAAATAGGCCCAAAATGGTTTTTGTTTTAAAGGCAACTGGACTTTCTTTGTTTTTCCTTGAAGATGTTTCACTTTTTATCCAAGAAGTGAACTGAACTGAACTGAACTGACCAGAAGAAGCTTCTTGGATGAGAAGCAAAACTTCTTCAAGGAAAAGCAAAGAAAGTTCAGTTGTCTTTTGAAAAAGTATCTTTGGGACAATCATGACCTGGATGACTGAGAATCTCGATAGATATGCCTGAAATAATTGATTAGGATCAATTTTGTGAATGCAAAATGCCTTCTGAATCATTCTGTGGATATGAACACATCCAACTTTATTCATATGCCCCAAATTCTCAAACTATTTTGGAAATAAGATTTGATTCAGACATTTGACTAAATATGCTTCACTTTAATATCTGAATTGGAACTTGAAGTTACACAATAACAGAATAACAGAGTTGGAAGGGAAATTGGATGTCTTCTAGTCCAATCCCCTACTAAAGCAGGAGAGCCTATACCATTTCTGATTAGTTGATTACTTTCCATAAAGTGTGGGTGTCAAACTGCTGGCCCATGGGCCAGATGCATCATGCGGAAGTCACGCTCAATCCATTGCTGGCAATGGCAAAACAGTCCCAATACGTCGCACAATGTCACATGGCATCACGAGTTTGACATATCTGATCTATTGCTTCTTGTTCTGCCTTCAGAAGAATTTTGGAGAATAGGTTAACCCACTCTTCTTTGTGGCAGCTTCTTAGATATTGGAACATTCCTATTATGTCACCCTTAATTTATTACTTATTTATTGAGTTTATTAAGAACATTTCACCTTTTCTGAAGACAGTTTACTTAAGAATCTTCCTCCATTTTTACCTACATAAGAGCAACCCTTTGAGTTAACAGAGAATAAGTAGCACACAGTGACTTGGTGAGTTTCCATAGTTGGAGATGGGCTTGAATCTCATCCTCCCTACTCCTACATCAACCTCAACTTTACTTGTACAAGTGACCTAATCAAATATGATTTTTGGAATCATATGTTGGAGTGAAATATTGTAACTAGGAAAAAAGATATGCTGGAGAAGGAGAACATTTGCATTTTTAATTACCCATTGTAATTAAACAAGATGAAAGAAAATCTTCTATACCAGTCATTTCAAGAAAGAGGTAAATTTCAGTGAAATTGTCATGAATGGAATGGAATGCTCTTGAACTTTAACAGTTGAACTATAAAAAGGACAAGTAGGTCTGTGAAGAAGATTCCAGAAAGGGAAATTTTCTACTGGACATTTTTTAAAAGTGATGATGTTATGTTGAATCCTGATTGATCCCTATCCTTGTCCAAGTTTTGTTTGGCATCGTTAAAAATATTTTGATTTCTATAAAACCATATGCCTTTTAGCAAATATGTTGAGAAATGATATTTTGTATATCTCAAATTTCTGAATGTGATGCATAGCACTATGGTTGTCATAAAGCTTTATTATAGTGATGGATTATGCAAAACTTTAATGTCAGCTTTAGTTTCATCTCCCTAATCAAAAAATCCACACCTGGTTAAAACTCCTGTGCCACTCAATTATATTTTTATTAATAATGAGTTGGTTTCCTCCTAGCACCTTGTGATCCACCATTCCAATTTTGACTCTATGGAAAGACATGTTTGAAAATACAATTATGTTTATTATATCAAATTCAGTAATTGTTTCTTTGTTTTCATTAAAGGACACTTCTTCTCCCACAGAGTTGTTAAATGAAATTTCCTGAAGAAATGGGTGCAGCTAGTGCAGAGAAATAAAAACAAAAAACAAAGATGAAACTTTTATAGCAAAAGGGTCGCAAATAGCAAAATACAAGAACAAAAAGCAAACATGTCCCAAGTATCTTTTTTTCCAAACTGTACTTTCTTTTTTCCCCTCTCACTTCTCATCCAAGAACCTTCATTAGTTCTAGAAGCTTCCAGAGCTGAAGAAGCTTCTTAGATGAGAAATGAAACATTTTCAAAGAAGGAACAAGAAAGTCCAGTTGCCTTTAGAAAAAGCATCTTTGAGATAACTGTGACTTGGATGATTGAGAATCTCCATGGACAAAAAGCAGACATTAGTTGTTGTTTTTTTATCAGTTTAAAACTTTCTTTCCAAAGGTTGCCCATGGGTTGCTTAATAAATTAGAAACATTACTGTTGTTGCTGCTGTTGCTGCTGTTACTATTAACAATTTAAATATTGTATTATTATGTTCTTTATTGAACAATGTATTATCAACTATGTCTGCATTTTGACATATCTTTTGATATGGAAAGCAGTTTTGAAAATTTGTTCTTTATTGAATAAAGTTTTATCAACTATGTCTGCATTTTGAGATATGAAAAGCAGTCTGGACCTACTGACTGAATAAATAAATGAATTAATATCCGTTCCCTGTTGCTTAATCTGCAGATTGTTTCATTTGCATCTGATCCTGACAGATGCTATTTCATTCTGCATTGGAGACATTACCTGCCAAGCCTCAACTTTTCCCAATCTGTATTTGGATCTAGAGGAAACCCTGGTGTGCAAAGCATGTGCTATGGCAGAGACAGCATTGTAGATGCTGTAGCTGTGACCAGTCAGGTCCATTTCAAACACAAGTTCAGGAAGGCTCCTTAGCTGCTCATCCCCAGTACATGTTCCATCCTTTTTTGGTAGCATGCTGGAATCTGGAAAAGAACAGTCAAAGGTTTGCTCCCAAAAGTCCTTGAGGAAATTGTCACTTTGGTCCCAGTGTGGTTTTACATTTTGAAGGAATGTTTGAAACTGTGCACATTCCCTTGAGTGAATTGAGAAGGAAATAGTGCCATGGAAGAAATCAATATTTTCTCGTGGTAAGAAACTAGTCACAGCAAAATCAATTTGAGCTGTTGTAATCCATATTCTTCCAAAATATGCATTATCTTGAAAATCTGAACTTGCCATGGCAACCAACATGCTCAGCCGCATAATAGTTAGAGTCTCACCATAAATTAACCATGCTCGGGTTTTCATGTCCTGCAAACGTAGAGATGTTTTCCAAGCCAACTGCTGTAGGTTTTCAAAGGTGAGCAGAAGACTTTGGTTGGGGATTCTTTCTGTGAAGGGTGAGCAGATGTTATTCTGAGAAAGCAATGGCTTCAGGACTTTCAAAAAAGATTCTCCACTGTCACCTTCCAGTATGAAGAGTCCAATCCAAGTCCATTGGAAGTGCTTAAGCAAATGGATAATCCCCATATACAGATGACTTTCATTTGGGACCATGCGGTAGAAGGAATCATCCTGTCTACTATTATGTCCTTCTAAAGCAAATGATCCATAGGTCAGCTAAAAAGAAATGCAGAGATGCTTTGTAGTGTTGAGCTATGAAACACACCAATTGTATATATAGAACATAAAACATTGAATAATAGAGTTGGAAGGGACCCTGCTTGAGTAAGAGACTCTATAACATTTCACATAAATGATTGTCCAGTGATGGAGCATCCACAACTTCTGAAGGAAAGTTGTTTCATTGGTTGTTTGTTCTCACTGTTAGGAAATTTCTCCTTAGTTCTAGATTGCTTTTCTCCTTGGTTAGTTTCAATCTATTATTTCTCATCTTGCCTTTTGGTACTTTGGAAAATAGTTTGACCCTCTCATCTTTGTAGGAGCCCCCCAAATATTGGAATACTGCTATTATGTCTCACCTAGTCCTTCTTTTCATTAGACTAGACATGCCCAATTCCTGTAACTGTTCTTTATAAGAGTTAGCTTCCATTCCCCTAATCATTTTTGTTGCTCTTCTCTGCACTCTTTCCAGAGTCTCAACATCTTTTTTGTATTGTGGTGATAGGAACTGGATACAGTATTCCAAGTATGGTCTTATTAAGGTTTTGTAAAGCAGAACTAGAACTTCACATGATTTTGATTCTATCCTTCTATTAATGCAGCCTAGGATTGCATCAGCTTTTTCAGATGCTGCTGCACACTGTTGGCTCATATTTAAGTGATTGTCCACTAGGACTCCAAGATCACTTTTGCAGTCACTCCCATTAAGTCAACTTTCACCTAATCTATACTTATACAGTAGAAACTTACTTTTTTCTACATTGAATTTCATTTTGTTGGATAGGGCCCGGTGTTCAAAACTGTCAAGATCTTTTTGGATCTTGAGCTTGTCTTCTGGGTGTTGTGTGTAGATACAATTGTGAAGGGTAACTAATATATTGTTTGCAATTATGAGAAATGATGCAAGATTTAGAACCATTCATATTAAAGAAATACATTATATCCCTCTAATTCTAGAGGTTGCATACATTTGTGAAGAATAAGGCAAGAAGAATTAATCTTGAAGACTTGATATATTACTTCTGCATTGGGAATATAATGCCTGCAAATATTATCTATTCTTACATTCTTCTAACCAGCAATTTCCCTGAATAGATCTTACCTGTGGAATCTCATAGAGACTTAAGATATCTGCCATAAAGAAGGAAATGTCAGAATTCATTGCCCCAATGACAGCTATTATTTTTTTCTGGCTACCACATTCATAGTTGGGAATAAATTTGCCTGAATTGAAAAGAAGGTCCAGGGTGGTCCGATAGGTCATTTTTGCATTATAATAGCTGTCTAATATATGGAACCCAAGAGTGATATTGGGTAAGGTTTGGGGGTTCTTGTTGACTTCATGTACAGAGAATGCCAAAGCCAAGATGTGCTGGTAAAACTTTGTTATCATACTGTGAATAGAATCAAAACTTTCTGTCATTAGTGAATTGTGTAGTACTTACATGTATGGATATTTTAAAAGTTTACATTTTTAAAAAAATATATATGATCATCCTTTTTCTCTTTCCTTTATCTAGACCAATCTGTTGACACTGATGTCAACAGTTTGATGAGACATTTTTGTTGTGGTTGTGTCTGATTCTTTGTGACCCCATGGACCACAGCACATCACACCCCCATCCTTCACTGTCTCCCAGAGTCTGCCCAAACCCATGCCCATTGTGTCAATGACACTATCTAACCATCTCATCCTCTGCCATCCCTTTCTCCTTTTGCCTTTAATATTTCCCAATATCAGGTTCTTTTCCAATAAGTTGATGAGACATTATAACAGTCTTAATTGCATTGGTTTGGATGTGACTAAAATCCTTATATTGGTTCTTGATTTTATTGGAACCACATTCATTGTAGCCTCTTTTCAAACCTTATCCCTAGGCACTAGGAGCACAAGACTGTAAGGGGAAATGGGAAAACTATTTCCAATTCTTCTCCCTTTCTGAAGCAATGTGAACATTTGAATCACTAGATTTTTCATGTTGTAATGCAGTTGTCTAAGCTTAAACCGATTGTCCATGAACTTTATACCATGAATTAATTTGCAACAAAAAATTAACCAGTACATCTTATATGAATTTTAAATAAATAATGCTGTATCTTTAAGTTGGATTCAACATATGTTGACTTGGAAAAAAAATCCTTATTTGTTTATTTATTCATATACCCTCCCATATAATGATCAATGAATACAGCTGTCATTAATCAAGACAATAAAAAGTTAATACTTTTTTTTAAAAAAGATGATTTTTAAAAAATAAGAAAAATACAAAAGCTAGGGGAGAACAGTAGATATTTAGAAAAATGGAACCACCTCATTGTGGAATTTTGAAGGATTTCCTCATTGCTTCCTTCTTAATGTATCATCATGCCTACTAGTATTTTTTCACAACATCCCGATCTATAGTCCTGATATTTCCTCATGATCTCTCATACTAGTAGATTGAATCTTGACTGGTTCTTTGAGGTTTTCACCTTTTTGATCTATTATAACAACGTTGAATGATTCAAATTTGAATGATTGTGAATTCACTTTTGAAAATAGCACTTATATGGTCTAAGCACTTTTGGTCACCATGATGTAAAAAAGGTGTTGAGACTCTAGAAAGAGTATAGAGAAGAGCAACAAAGATGATCAGGGGACTGGAGGCTAAAAATATGAAGAATGGTTGCTGGAATTGGGTAGTTTAATGAAGAAAAGGACTAGGGATGACATGATAGCCGTGTTCCAATATCTCAGGGGTTGCCACGAAAAAGAGGGAGTCAAGCTATTCTCCAAAGCACCTGAAGGCAGGACAAGAAGCAATGGATGGAAACTAATAAAACAGAGAAGCAACTAGAACAAAGGAGAAATTTCCTGACAGTCAGAACAATTAATCAGTGGAAAAACCTGCCTCCAGAAGTTGTGAATGCTCCAACACTGGAAGCTTTTAAGAAGACATTGGAAAACCATTTGTCTGAAAGGGTATAGAGTTTCCTGCCTGACTAGGGGGTTGGACTAGAAGATCTCCAAGGTCCCTTCCAACTCTATTATTATTATTGTTATTATTATTGTTGTTGTTGTTATTGTTATCATCGTCATCATCATTATCATTATCATTATAGATTTCAATAGATTTCTTGATTTTAGCTATATTGAGCCTTTTTCAGTGAAAGTAGAGCATAAATATAGTGGATAAATATGCATAGATATATCAGATTGAAGAAGCATAATTAAGTTGCCTTTATTCAAAAGCCATTCTAATAATATTCCTTCCAAGTCTGCAGTTACTCAAAGTTCCAATCACAACATTTTTCTACCTGTGATTGTTGGTCTTTGGCACTTACTAAGAAATGACATTCAGCCTTCTGCATCAGCCTATTACATGCGTAAGGTTTTGCTAAGTCATTAATTAATTATTATTATTGATGCTTTCGAACTTTCGTGTTTGTGAAGACAACTGAGAACATTGTGAGCAACCAAGGATACTAAGAAATAGATCATAGCATTCTTACTCAAGCATAGTTCAAACTGTCCTACTCAGGGCACATCGTATGAAATTCTACCTCTGTAGAGAAGCCTTCCATGTTGGGAAAAGTGGAGGAGGGCTAGTGAATAGATGCAGTTACAGTGTCAATGGCTGCACCTGAAGGACTAAGTTAGGAACAGATCAACATAAAGAAAAAACTGTCATTGTTAAGAGTCAAAGTCATTCATTCAATCAAGTAATTTATTACATTTCTTTATAAGAATATATAAATTAGCATCCTTCAAAACAACTCAATTTTCCAGAAGTGAAAAATAGATTTTAAAAAAGTTTGTACAAATTATCTCTAGCTATTCCACACTGGATAGGAATCTTTCATAAAACTTCCTCTTTTTTCATTCCATATTTTTAAAGAAGAAAATGTGTAATTCCTTCTGACCTGTTCTTATAGATATGCTTCTGATAGCTTCTGCAAATGCTATTATGAAGGTATAATGTTTGGCTTTGGTTGCTCAATACTTTGGTTCAAATTAAAGACCCCCTTGATGGCTTAATGCAATGTCTGAGCAAAAAAAGTGTGCTGATGTTCTTACATGAGTTGCACAGGGACCATAAATCTGAGTTTCTGAATTACAAATCCATAGGTTCCCAAGTCCACCCAGAAAAGTGAAAAAGAAGGAACTGCTTACATTGGCAGATCAAAGCCCAGCTCCTCAGAAGGCTGTCTGCAGAAAGAAAGTTTTGGAAAAAGTATTATGATAAGAGAAACAATCCCACCTATGGTGAAGTCTCCAGGCTGATACCATTCATGAGGAACAGGGACAGGATCAACAGAAAAACATTTGGTAAGGCCATCTTTACCCATGACAGGAGGCAATAAAAGTAGTAACACCATAAGGAACACTAACTGAAGGCAAAACTTATCTCTAGAAAGAGACATTACTGAGCCTAATCTCACTCTTGTTGCAAATGTAGATAGATCATTTGGTCTTAATCTATCTACTTTAGAAAAAAAATATATACCCTAGTATGTGTCTAATGCTGAAAAAACAGATCCTGAATTCTGATCAAGATACAATGACTTTGAAGCCAATGTTGGAGATTGTTGGTAGAGCCCTGCCCACCACTTACTCTTAATAGCAGCTCTCAATAGGACAAGAGGGTCACCTTATAAACATGTCAAGACTTGTTTATAAGATGTATTTGGGAAAGATGCCAGAGGCATTAGCACAGACACCATTGAACGTGATTGAAGAGAAAACATTTACTTTTTTTTTCAGAGTTTGGCCTGCAAAGACAATCTTACTTGCAGTTCTTTGTGGATTTTCTCCTTCTCCCTTCTACTCACCAGTGAAAACAACATTCTAGTAACCACAAGTAAACCAAAGTTGTTATCTTTACAGTGATACCCTAGGTTGTTTTTATTGCTGTATATCACGAGTTAGACAATCATATAAATCTACAAAAAAA